TACCCGATCCCAATCATATAGTACTGTTGCGGCGTGCAACCCGATCCAAATCATATAATGATGTTGCTGCGTGCAACCCGATCCAAATTATATAATATTGTTGCAGCGTGCAACCCGATCCAAATCATATGATGATGTTGCGGCATGCAACCCGACCCCACCTGTCCACCTTTATTACTCCTTGTTGCAGTGTGTAACCCGATCCCATATAATATTATTGCGGTGTGCACTCCGATCCCATATAATATTGTTGCGGCGTGCAACCCGATCCCAAGGAACAATAGTATAACAACAATATCCTGGCAAGGGAAACAATATCATAAGCAATAACATCTCGGCAAGGGAACAATAGTATAACAACAATATCCCGGCAAGGGAAACAATATCATAAGCAATAACATCTCGGTAAGGGATTCAACAAGTACATAATAAGCACGCGATACGCCGGTAACCACAACAATTGGACATATAACCTATTTGCACGAAGTCATAGAGGAACTCACAATCAAGAAGTATCAAAACAATAAGGAATGCATTCACTTCAATTAAGGCAATTAAGGGTCAATGTAACACGTAAGAATTAGAGGAAAGCTAACAACATCATATGGAGCATATAGAGACAATTTAAGCAATTATTAAACCCAATCATAACATGATATTTTTCACATAATGAACATAAGGACCTAAGAACCCTAGAGCAGATTTCCCACAAATAAGTCCGAGCACACACTCGTCACCTCGCATGCACGGACTACAATTAACATAAAAAACCCAAATCCTAAGGGGAAGTCCCTCACACAAGGTTAGACAAGATACTTTCCTCAAAGACGACAAATCGATACTCTAAAATGCACTTCTCGGGTGAAAAGACCTCCGGACGGCTCAAATCTAACCAAATTAACTTCAAAGCACGAATAAAATACATAAGAAACTATTCCGGATCATAAAGTCTCAACCTTTAAAAAATCCAAAAATCGGTCCAAAAGTCGACCCCCGGGCCTGCGCCTCGGAACCCGACACATTTTACAAAAATTCGAATACCTATTCCAATATGAGTTCAACCATACACAATTTATTAAATTCCGATACCATTTGGCCCCTCAAATCATGATTTTTCATTTTAGAATTTTTTTTTCAAAAACTAACATTTTCCTTATTCCGAATCACAAATTAAATGATAAAAATGAAGACAAATTCTTGGAATATAATCAATTATAGGTGAATAACACTTACCCAATCATTTTGCTTGAAAACCTCACAAGGAATCGCCCAAAACCGAGCTTTAGGACTCCAAAAATGGTGAAAATGACAAACCCTCGAAATAGAGTACTATTTATTCTGCCCAGGTCTTAAAGCATCGCGAACACGGAGGAAGTATCGTGTTCACGAAGAAGAAAAAGGAAGGCTGCCCAGTTGTGCTTCGCGAACACGATAGCACGCACGCGAATGCGAAGAAGGAAAATATTATGGCACAGAGATTGCTCTTCGCGAACGCGTGAGCTAGTACGTGAACGCGTGAGTGGAACGGCATAACTACGCGAATGCGTGAGGGGGATGCGAACGCGAACGCGATGAAGGATAAGACATAGCTTCGCAAACACGAGGCAGGTTACGCGAACTCGAAGAAGGAAAATTAGGCGACCAGCAACAACACATCGCGAACGTGAAAGGCTGTTCGCGATCGCGGAGAAGGAACACCAGAATCAGAATACAACGGTCCAAATAGTAAGAAACTGACCCGTAGCCCACCCGAAACACATCCGAGGCCCCGGGACCCCGTCCAAACACACAAACAAGTCATATAACCTAACACAGACTTGCTCGAGATCACAAATCACATCAAACAACGCCGAAATGACGAATCACACCAAGAATTGAACTTAGGAACTTTCAAACCTTCCAACTTCCAAAATTCATGCCGAAACCTATCAAATCAACCCGGAATGACGCCAAATTTTGCAGACAAGTCCAACATGACATAACGGAGCTGTTCCAACTCTCGGAATAGCATTCCAACCCCGATATCACAAAAATCAACTATGAGTCAAACCTCTTAATTTTCCAAACTTCAATTTTTTCAACTTTCACCGAAACACCTCAAATTACCCTACGGACCTCCAAATTCGAATTCGGACATGCCCCTAAGTCCAAAATCACCATACGAAGCTGTTGAGATCACCCACGACCCATTCCGGGGCCGTTTACTCAAAAGTCCAATTCCGGTCAAATTCTCACCGTTTAAACTTCTAAAACTAGTTTCCTTCTTCCAATTCGACTACGATGCATCCGAAAACAGAATCCAACCATGAACCTAAGTCGATACACATAATATGAAGCTGCTCGTAATCTCAAACTGCGGAACTTGACGAAATTGCTCAAAACGACCAATCGGATCGTTACACCAGCCTAATTGCAAACAACAATCAGTAAAGCAAATCAGTGTAATCCATACAAATTTTAAAATCATTACTGGTGCTAATTTACAGTTAAGAAGTACTTGACACACCTTGTCTTCTCAAGTGCTTTCTTTTGAATACAAAAGCAAAAATACTATAAGAACGAAGTTGGCAGATATTGCAGAAACAATTCTTGCAATAAAAAGTATGTGGCTCCGAGCTGAATTCCTAGATACGTGATGAGTAACTGCATCCAGAAGACAAATGGTAGATAAATTAGATAAATTTAATTTTCTAGATAAATGAATCGTTATTAGTAGAATTGATAGGGATTGAAGTGAAAATACCTGGCTCAGAGCCACGAACTCGAACGTAGAGAGCTCTGCCAGCAGCATAGTTATGTGCAAGGTCTAGTAAATCTCCAAACCAAATTAAACAGGTGCTATTTGAATAAGCATAAACCGAGCAGGAACAGTTTCTAATGCACTGAGTTTCACACTCCGTAATGCTCATATTCGCGAAGGAGATAGCATGATCGGGCAACTTCATATTCTCATGCTCATATTCCAGCCTTGTTTATTACAATAATAGATTGTCATAATAAATGCAATTTATTTCCCGTCATTGGTCCAACAACATTTCCAGCCATTGCACTAAATGTCAGTTACACCACCAGTTTCGTCTCTGTTACACTAGTTTCGTTTCTGTTATTTGCAATTTCCTTGAACCGTTTAAAACCGAAAAAATAGATCGAAAATAACCGAATCGAAATTTGAAAAAACGCACTGAACCGTAAATACTTTAATTTGATTTGGTTATTAATATTACAAAACCAAAAACCGATAAACCGAACCGTACTTTCATAATAATCGATTGAACTGACCGACGCCCACCCCTATTTGGAACTGAGCTAATCGTAGAGCCCGTTTGAGCAAGTTGTTAAAAACTGCTTGTTTTGAACAGTATCTTTTTAGAAGTATTTTTTCTAAAAGTATTTTTGAAAAAAAATAATTTGTGTTTGACCATGGGCCAATTCATTTGAGATAGGTAAATAAATTATGTTTGGTCAATCTTTCTAAAAAATGCTTTTGAGTGTCAAACTACCAAAAAGGATAGTACCAATGATTTATAATTATTTTAAATCAAAAAATAAATTTTAATATTTGTTGTAAGAGACTTTATATTATTTTTATTTTATTTAATTAAATAACATAAAGTAAATATACATACTAAATATTTAAATCAATATAATATAGTTATACTAAAGTAATAATATTACCTAGTATAATTACTAATTGTATACATGATGATAATCTTCAACATAACTTTATCATAGTTTTTTCCGATTCTATTACCAAACTTTTGCACCAGATTAGACCATCTTAATCTGTTGAAGTGAGTCACATGATGATTTCCGGCTAAAATTTTTACCACACATATATGTAAAAATAGTTATGCGGTTTCTACATCCCATTTAACTTTCTCATAGTTGTTATCCAGTAGCACTTTCTTGCTCATTCTTTTTCATTATGCATTAAGAACATGTGATTAATAATAACATTAAACAATAAGAGAACTAAAAATTTATCATGTCAAAAAAGGAGAAAGATAAAAAAAAAAAATTAAGAGGGAAAAGCTTTCAACCGTTAATCGCTCATATTATTTAAAATAAGTGTTATTACACATGAAAGTCTAAAAAAGGAAACCAGTAGTCACTTTCACAAAATATTAGAAGTATCGCTGGTACATGCACTCACGTTAAAAAGAATAGATAAAAGTATATACTAGATATTGTGTATAATAAATTGGTACACTATAAAGGAAAAATAAATAAATCATACCTTACGAAAAAAGTGCTAGAATTTGTTATTAGTTTTGTTATTTCAAAGAGGGATAAGAGACACAAAAAAAAAAGTATACAAAAAAAAGGTAGAAGAGGACTTTTATAGTAATTGATGGGAATTCTTATGTTGTAGAAAAAAATCGAGGATCTAACCTATTAAAGTTACCAGGAGGATTTGAGGAGATCTATTACTTTAAAGAAATTAAAAATAAGATTAGTCAAAAAAGAATTTGAAAAATTACACAAAGAAAAAATAAAAACAAGAAAAGTCAAAAAATAATTTGTTGCAAGTTATACATGTGATATCTCTAATTTAAAAGAATGGCATAAACTAGAAACAAAGAAGAAGAAGAAAAGGTTAAATCAATGAGTGGTAATTAAAAAAATATAAATTTATAGTGAAATGCTTTTGCACCAATCACACTTTTCCGTCTTGGCCAAACGGATCAAATCTCTAAAAAAAAATATCTTTGGCCTCACATAAACTTTGCCAAACAGGCTCTTAGTAACAAATCCATCTGGATGGCTCGACAAATTTATTTCAGTAAAATTATTCCAAAACCAAGTCATGTCATTTTAGTAGCAAAATTGTAGCGAGAGAAGAGAGAGAAAAAGAGTCGGGAAAAAATAGAAACAGAGAAAAAGAGAAGCAAGAAAGAAGAAAAAAAAAAAAAGAAAAAAAGAAAAAGAAAAAAGGGAAAAACTTGTCGCAGTCGGGAAAATTAAATGAGACGTGTCCCAAATTAGTCCGATTGTACTAGTTTTGAATGGAAATGACTTGCTTCCTATCACATTCCAAAATCCTATAACAAAATTCCAAAATGAAATCGTTGCTTTCTCTCAAGAACATTCACCGTTCCCCGCCAACTGTTTCCACCTCCGCTGTTAATTCCGTAACGCCATCGCGCCGGTGTTCGCACTCCACCGCTACCACCACCACCTCTAGCCTTCGTTTCTCTTCTTTTATGTTACATCCACAAAGCTCAATAACCCAATCCTCTTCTTATCCTAATACGTCATTCGGTCGCTGCCGGGCTACCAGTTCAGGCCCACCTTCGCCTCCACAAACCGACCCACCCAATAACGAAGAAGACTCATCCTCATCTCCAGGTATTCGTAGCTCATTTGCTTGCATTTGTATTGAATTTTTGTTTTCCTATTTATTGCTTCAGATTAAACCGCTATCAATAGCTAAATTTGACTTTGATGCTACTACTTATTGGAGTAGTATCTTTTAGTAAGAACTACTGCTGTGTTTGAAACAAGATTCATATCATGAACTATATTCTTAGACGAGGTTTTAGCTTCAATATACCATCTCTGTTAGATATAATATCTGTTGGGAAGTAGATTCATTTATTACCAATTCTTTGCAAAATTATGTAATGACTTGTAACTAACTCTTAATCACCTAGGGGAGAAGAAAAGGAGATTGTGTTTCTTGCTTGATATATTTTCGAGCTATTCTTTTCAAGATCAAAATTTGATGCAATTTATCTGAAAATTAAGATGTCTTAGGAGCAATTTTACCACTTCTTCACGAAACCATCCATTAGTATATGTTGATGCTTTGCTAATCTTGTAAGCATCTTTCTTCAACTTCGAAATTTTTTTCATGTATAATGTAATTACTTTCAGTTTCAACTATCTGTTGCTTCATATTTAAAGATGGAAGCTGTTGGAAAGAGTGCACCTTGGCTTAGGGTAGTAACAACTATAGAGCTATCTTGCATACTTATATGAATCCTTCAATACCCCCTGCTGCACTGATACAACACAGATTTGGGTGTGTGGTACATACCAGATTTGATCAATTCTTCCAGGGTGCGTTGGCGGCCAAGGAACTAAGAAACATAGGTTTCCGTGGTTCCTTTTTACTCAGTTAACATACATACTCTATATATATACACATATAACTGTAAAATATTTCCCCCAGGGCTTTGGTCCGGTGGTAAGAGCACAGTGCATGATGTGTAGGTTAGGTACATCATGGGTTTTGAACCCTGCCCCAGTCAAAAACCTGGTATTTAAGTGGATAAGGGTAGAGGGACGGGCCTATTATCCCTCATGAATTTCTTGGCAACCAACCCCACCCCCACCCCCCCTAAAAAAAAGAAAAAGAAAAAAAGAATTGCATTAAGTATTAGAATTTTTTGTTATTGCATGAGATATGCTTATGGAATAAAATTATTTATTTTGGTTCGATGTCTTTTCAATTTATTTTTGTACATTTATTAGACGATCCCAGCATACTAGTACTCATTCCCGTTCCCTGGATCCTATGTAAATATAATAACAACAGGCCAGTGTATTACCACAAGTGGGGTTTGGGGAGGATAGGATGTACGCAGTCTTACCCCTACCCTAGAAGGGCAGAGAGACCCTCTACCCTCAGCTAAAGAAAGGATGAACAACCAAATGTTCGTTCTGCAAGATACATTGATACTTGGATGCTAATCATCAGAGGAGAATGAGAAACACGATGACAAAAACAAAACAGATGTCATAACGTGGAGGTTAATGGTTGGAATGAGCTGAACACTATCGTCATTAATGAATTTTGACCAGTGCACTTATATTTTGGGATGCTTTTTAACTATTTATGAAATGACCTGGATGAAATGATCATTGGCTTAAAAAGAGAGAGTAATTATCCAATGAATGATTTGTGTCACTTGCTCAATAACCTGAAACAAATATTTTGATACCCTTTTCTTGTTCCTCTTTTTTTTTTTTTTTTTTTTTTTGTTTTTTTTTTTGTTTTGTTGTTGTTGTGTGTGTGTGGTGGTGGTGGGTGGGGGTTGAGGTTTAGGGTCAAATCCAGGTAAAAATATCTGGCAGCTACTTAATACATTGTTAGTGACACGATCCAATGAGTAGAATTGATCAGGATTAGCAACTGAAGGACAAAAAATTGTTAACCTTAAAACATCGCCTGAAATTTCATCTCGCGTTATTAAGTTACTGGCTTACAATAGCTTTTCTGCTGTGCCATTGTTTTTGAGTCCGTGTTGGAGCTTGTTTTTGCTGTATTTTCTCTATTAAAGGAATCGTCTTGCAAATTATTTGTTAATCGATTATTGTTTAGTATATGAGATACTGATGGTCAAGCATCAGACTTAAGTGATAATCTGGGAAGGTGTAAGGATTGATGCCAGTAACTTTGGTACTGTTTACTTTTCTTCTGAAACTAATGGAACTCTCTTTTACCTTGAGTGTACGCTGTGACAGTACTCATATTATTACGGATACCTGACAAATGTTTAAATTTCTGAATCAGGTATCATGGCATCTTTCTCCAAAGCGCAAGACAGCATGCAGATCTTTTTTGCTGTGTTGTTCTGGATGTCACTTTTCTTCTGGTATTCTGTGTGGGATGGGAAGAATGATGGCAGACCAAACAAGGGTTCTCGATTTAGAAGATAAAATTGTAAGGAGTTTCTTTATGGTGTCTTCTACAATTAATTCCTTACGTTGTCTTACATGGTAGTGTAAATCATGGATAGCTAAGGGAAGAAAGAAAAAGAGAAAGGGTTTAGTGTGTAAAGTAGTTTAGTGTTACTGAAACATGGAGATCGTTCTGTCTGCTTCACTTAAAGGTAGTATAGAGTTCCCTGTTAGCCCAGCTAGCATTAGTTCATTCATGCTGCGAATCTTAAGCTTCTACTATAGGGCTTTGAGAGCAAAATTTGCTGTTCAATTATATGGAATTAGAGTCTATTTCAATGCTCCCTATATTCTGCACTCTTGGATAGAAGAATACTTTGCCCTGTCTTGTTCAAGAATTTATGAGATTTTTTTGTTCCAAAAGTAAAGCAGACTTTTCCTTCTCTTTGTTGTCTTGTGGCGTGTGTGTGTGTGATTGAACTGAAAAGAAATCCTAAATAATAAGAATGTTGTTGGCTATCAGGTACCACAACTACTTAACCTAGTGTTTTAAAGAAGTTCCCTGTAGGAAGTTTTGAACCGTGATATGAGAATGAGTAAGTAAAGAGTAATTCCTCCTGCGCTCTCTGTATGGTATGATATAGAGAAACATATGGTAGCGGCCTTCATCCTTGTGAATTCTGTTACCACATATCTTAGTGTAGAAATATTCTAACCCCTTTTTTCTTTTGGTGAAAGAAGAATTTGGAGTAATTGTTATCTAATGAGCTGAAGCAACTATTACCGTCTTTTCCTTGGTGAATGTGGTGTGTATTTTCTTTTTTCACCGGAGCTATATTTCTTCTCCCTTACTGGTGATTGAACGTAAAAGACTTGCACAACATCTATTCAGATAAGTCTTGCTAAATTCTAGATGTTGCTATTTGAATGCGACAAACAAGCAACACAGCTGGGGATATAAGCTGTCCCATAGTTGTTTTTACACTTCTCATGATTTGGCCAACTATTTGATACTAAAGCAACCAACTACTAGTGTATTACTGGTGTGATATGATTGTCTCTATTGAACGTGTTTGGCAACAGGGACCTCCTTTGACTGCACTTTAGTATTCGTGTCATTTGTTAATTAGATCCCATCAAAGGAAGAAACCCCAAAATAATCCCCATTCATATTCAGATGGAATCTAATTGAAGGAACTCTGTAGTCTTTGAACTGTTCCACTAGTATAAAAACTCCATAGATTTTTATGCTTTGACGTCCATCAATGGGAACTTTACGAAAAAAGAAATTGAGGAGGAACTGCTTGTGCTAGTCGTTTTCAACATGGGAAAAAAATCTGTGTCAATTTGTAATTGTGTGACTTCTGGGCTCACTTCAAGTTTACTGAACTGCGAGGATCCAATCATTTGAGAAAGGTGGAGCCACCCTGTTCCAAAATATCATCTCTGTTTACTCAAAATTGGGTAACAATTAAATTTCTACGTGGTTTAAAGGATACGTGGTTTAATTTAACACAAATAATTAAGAATAATAAATAAATGAATTAAAGGTGAAATAAACGATCAAATTACTCGCAATGTTAAGACCAAGACTGATCTTAGATTGAATAGTGAGCTCGTCCTCGATTAAAGCCCATTCCCGGATAAAGAACATAACAAGTGAATAACGCCTTTAACAGTAGCTAGAAAATAAAAGTAAACTTTTATTGCCTTGAATTGCATGTTACAATGTGTCAAACTAAATACAAACTTTCCTTTTATATAGTAGGAGAGTTTCAGTTCTAGTATAAGTCTAAAGAAGGTAAAAATCTTCCTCCCCGGTAATTGTTGATCCTTAATCGATTCTAAACGAGATTTGCGCCGTAATAACTTGTTGAGGGAGATTATTACGGCCCCTATCCGTCGTGCATAACCGTTCACTGCGTCTTCCGAGGTCTAGAAGTTATGCCTGGTACGAGGTGCGTCGATTTACCATGTCCGATGTTGGATATATCGTTTAGTCTCCCTGGGTTTTGATACGAAAGGTCTCTGGCCTCACTTACATTCTCGCGGATCCGTGTTCCTCCTTCGTTCTCTCATCGGGGGAATCGGGTAGACATTGCCCCCGACTTTACCGGTACACAATCTCATCTTTCATCCTTTAAGATGTGGTGTCTTTAGCATTAAATAAGCCTTTTACATTTCTAACTCGTAACATAGCTTATAAGGAAATATGCCTTTCTTCATTTCACAAAAATATTTAAAAACTTAAATTGCAGTGTACTACTTCATCGGTTAGAATTTATGTGAACATGGAGTTTAAGAAAAAATGAATACTTAAAATTTGTGATACTAAACAAGTCAAAAAGAGTTCCAGAATATTTGTATGGTTATAAAAACTTCTCATCAAGAATAAAAATGAAAGTTTAAGCTAAATTATTTCCAAATTTAAAAAGAATTCAATCTTTTTGAAATAAAAAAAAAAAGAAAATAGGTCAACCTCAATTGTAACTGATTAGTTACAATTTCTTATACCACTAACTAAAAGTCTTTCCTATGTTTCCTCTACTTTCCCTACTAGCGAGTTTGCCCCTCTAAAAAAGTCGCTACAAGTAATTTGGCCCGTGTATGTAACATAAAGTTACGCATATGATCATCGACCGCTCCAAAATCACACCATCTTTCCTACTCCTATTATCAAATCATCGTGGGACCAGCCCCAAAACTATTTGTAGCCCACTGAGCAGAACTGGACCCACGCTAGTATGGCGCTCACCACCTAAATATTATACTATTCAACGTGCAGATTTATATCACACTGACTTTTGTCGGTTTCCGGGGCATTTGGCCAATCAACGGCTCTGATTTATTTCCATCAGCGATCTTCTTTTGGCTTTAAAAGCGTTTCAAGTTTCAACTCAGCCAACCACTTCTCACTCTCTCCTCCTTTGGAGGGACTCCTTTGGTTACTCATTCTGATTTCTGAAAACAAAACCTAATCTGCGATTGATCTCATCCAAAAGATGCTATTAAGAAGTTCATCAAGTCCTTTATTGAATTCATGGGTACCAATCTCGTGCGGGTCGTCGCCGGAATCAGACAAGATGCTACCAATACAGACGCCGCAATTGATTAGGACTGGATCTCATTCTATGTCTACGTCGTTTGGTCATGATGAATCTCCGACCAAACATTCATCCAGCCGGTGCATGCGCGAATCGGACCTCCGAGATCCAGCTGTACTTCCAAAGAAGAACAAAAACGGGTCAAAGAAGCCGAAGCCGGCGAAGCTAAAAGAGAGAGAAGTGGGTTCGACAGAGGTGAGGAGATTGTTGTCGAATTCCGGATTGGGAAAGGCGGAGGAGGAGACTTCTGCTGCGGCTGTTGAGGAAAAAGGGAGGGTGTTGCAGTCGCTAGTGGCGGGCGGTGCAGGTGGAGGCGGCGGAGGTAGAGTTTGCGGTGGAGGTGGCAGCGGCGGGTCACGTGACGGANGTTGAGGAAAAAGGGAGGGTGTTGCAGTCCCTGGTGGCGGGCGGTGCAGGTGGAGGCGGAGGAGGTAGAGTTTGCGGTGGAGGTGGCAGCGGCGGGTCACGTGATGGGGATGGACCGGATTCTCAAGATTCAAATAGTTGGCATGGACATGAGAGTACGGAGGCTTATTACCAGAAAATGATCGAAGCCAATCCAGGAAATGGTCTCCTTCTGGCCAATTATGCCAGATTCTTGAAAGAGGCAAGGCAATTCTAGATTTGATTTTCATTGCCTCTCAATAATTATGTATTTTTAAGTACTTCATTTATCAATATTTTTTATTGGGTCATTTGATGCCAATTACTGGGGCAAACAGGTTAAGGGGGATTTAGAAAAAGCTGAGGAGTACTGCGGAAGAGCAATATTAGCAAATCCAAATGATGGTAATGTGTTGTCACTCTACGCTGATCTAATATGGCAAACCCAAAATGACGCAGGTCGTGCCCACACATACTTTGATCAAGCCGTGAAATCTGACCCTGATGACTGGTATGCATATGCACGCATCTCTTTCTTTTTAGCATTTGAATCTTTAGATGAGTTAAAAAATTCTAGTTGTCACTTATTAGATATTGCTATTTGTTATCATGTTAATGATTGATGGAACCTTCAATTGATTCCAGCCTGAATAGCTCTACTATAGATGGACCACATTTTTATGCTATTTGTCCACTCTCTTGAAAAATCTTGGTGGTCCATTTGCCCACACTATCACACAATTTGTTAGCCTTCCGGAAACAGTCTCTTTGCCTTCTAGGATAAGGGTAAGGCTGCATACATATCACCTTCCCCAAACTCCGCTTGTAGGAATTCATTGGGTTTGTTGTTTTTGTTGACCCTGTTAAGATTATGGTGGTGTGCTTATTTATCTTTTAACATGACGAATGGGTGCTATATTGTTAATGCAGCTATGTGCTGGCCTCGTATGCTAGATTCCTGTGGGATGCTGAAGAAGAGGACGAGAACGAGGAAGAAGAGGTAAGCGAGGGAAGTAGGCAATTTGAAATTCAGAATGGAAATTCAGCAGCAACCCAGAACTACTTTGGTGCACCATCTCATCGACCTCCCTTGACTGCTGCTTCTTAGTTTTGCAGTCTGTTCTTTTGTTAATCACACTCTGGAGCAAATAGTTTAGATAACTAGTACTACTATATAAGTAGCTAAGAAATAGATTACTCTCGAGTTTCGACTATGAAGAGTTCTCTTCCTGTCTCTTTTACAAGCACTAATAAAACTAGAGTTCTGACTAATTATAATTTTGTGATGTCTGTTAACTGAGTAGTATCATTTGTACCCTTCGTTACTCTGAAATAAAGCATAAAGCTAGTTGTTCTGTAGTATAATAAGTGCTCACTAATTCTCCAGAAAACACTTAGGAGGCTCTAATGACTATAAATTTAACATTGGAGGGGATTCAATTCCTCTTCAAGAATACCTTCCCTCCATTTTTTTCTGTTGGATATTGGATTTGAACGTGTCCCATTGAAAGTTCGGTGGACCAAATTTGTTTGGTTAACCTAAGATGAATAACTCTGGCCTTTGCTTTCCTCCGATATCGTTAACTCTATCTGAAGAAAAAGTAGAAGCACTCTTGGCCAACCACACAAATCTGGTATATTGGAAAGAGAGATCATCTCGAGTGCGATCATTGCCAAACTTGAGAAATGCGTTCCTGTTCCCCTTGCTTCGGGTAAAATACAACAATATTCACTTTTAAGCCCGCTATTTAATTCAGGACTAAGTGTCCTGAATTTCTGAGCTACTAATTTAAATTCAAAACACAAGATTCGAACTTCTGAACACAATTTTCGAACTTTAGGACATGAGTTTGAATTTTGAGGTTTAAACTCTAGGATGTTGTGTCCTAAATTGTGGGCAAAATTGGTTAATTTTTAAATATATTGTAAATTATAGATATATTTTAAACAACATGATTAAAAGTGGCTACGAGGTGTCATTTCCACCTTTTCCAAACAGTCGCGTGCTCTTTTGAATTGGGCCACTTACCCATGCTAAAACTAGCCCAATTTGGACTTGGCTACCTCCATATTGCTGTGGTGGGCTGATTCTCAAGTGTGCGCAATTCAGCTAAATCCTGAGAAGAATCGTTAGAACAAATTGTTAATTCAGCACTGTCCTTATATGTGGACCTAAGTATTGACCTGTGTTGCAATATTTTAGCCTCTGGCAAAATGACAGTTCGTTATCTAATAAACTTTAAAAATTAGGGTACTAAAACACTCCCAAAAGATTTTGAAAACAAAGAATTTTCATACTAAAGTATCTTGTTGTGGCCAATGCTTGTTTCAATGGCATCTTTTCATCTATTTTTTGGCTCTTAATTTGTTGTTATTATTTTTCTGGCCCTTATTGTTGATATTGCTTGTTTTTATTATTTTTTTTCCATCTTTCTTGAGTTGGGAATTTATCGAAAACAACCTTTCTACCCTTCGAGGGTAGGGGTAAAGTCTGTATACACACTATCCTCTCTATATTCTACGTATAAAATATTACTGTTGTACATATTTTAGTAGTGTAAATATAATCATTTTGGCAAACAAGTAAGTTGTTTGCTGTATTACACCCAAGTCTAAAATGAAATCTACAACACTAGCAGACGTGTAGTGCAGCTTTATTAATAAGGCCATTGATCATGAGTGATTCTCTCAATATCTTCTGTACATATTTTACTGATAATTATGTTTTTTAAAATAAGCTCTAAGGTTCAATTGCCTAAGAAAGAGAGAGTAGAGGACTGAGATTCCGGACTCAAAATGGTATGCTTAAATTCAATTAGTAGCGTATTCGGGAACGTTATCCACAAAAAACCGTGGTGTGGCACGAGATCCATCACACAGACGGCATCCAACGGTAAGCCAAGAGAAACCACGTGTCAAACATCTAGCACCTTCTCGTAGATCACAATTATTAATAAATCATGATATATAGATATTTTCCACCGACTTTGATGGCAGACCTAGGAGAATAAATACGTTATCCAGAATAGCTTTTAATTAACGAATCTCATCCGTACAGTTGCAACTTTTACATTGCAGATTATTCTGAAAGTAAGATAAACCACTAATAAAGTATTGGAACTTGGCTTAGTGGCACGTGTTGGTCAATCCGTTGCGTGCTGAAGCGGTTTTGTACAGTTCGAGCTGCTTTACTATTTAGCAAAGCAAGCTCAGCCGACAGTAGCTTCTGATTTTATTTTACTGATATATGCACAAACAGAACTTTTGTTGAAACAGAGAAGTTTAGTTTTTGGAGGAGAGAATGATGGCAAGTAATATGGATAAGGGTGAAGTTTTGCCTTTGGAGCTTCCTGCACCTTCTTCTTGGAAGAAACTGGTATTTCTTTCTTCCTAAGTTTCTCTAGTGTCGTTTATTTTGCTTTAGAAAATGAAATAATTTACTGAAGGCTTAAACTTTTGAATTGGTAAAATTATGCTAGTAGCTTATTATATTGTTGCAGTAGCCACGAGGTCAATTTCTATTTAGAGCCAGGGCACATTCTAAACGCTTAACACAATGAATTTACAAGGAACCGAGAGTGATAATTTAGTGGAACTTAAGTCAAATCATTGGATGGGATGAGTTGCGTGCTAAATCCCTGTTCTTTTGGTTGATAAGTCAGATGCTGCCTAATATTTCAATTGTTCCTGAACAATGGATTAGTTCTGAAGTAGGTCTAATTCAGGCAGATATGTGTTGTAAGTTGCTACTTACTCTAACATTTTCCTCACATTCAAGAATAATAATTTTATTTATTTTATTACGGTATCCTCTTTTTCCACTGAAAGGAGAGAGGATGATCCTATACCCAACAGATGGGAGGAATTAATTTCCGTACTTCATTGTCTGCATCTATTTTGTGGTAAATTAAGTAGTTATGTTAAGGTAATTGATTAAGGTAATCACCATTATGAGCTTGGTGTTCTGTATCATTTAATTCTTGTTTGAGAGATCAGCGTCCAAAATCTCCATCGATTCTTGAAGAATAGTTGCCCCTAAGCTGCACCGTAGGGATGTGA